TTAAAAAAAAAAAAAAAAAAGAAAGAAAAAGAAAAACAAACAAAAAATTTAAGCTGCTTTTTTTTTTTTTTTTTTTTTAATAAAGGACCTGAGCTGAGTGTGGTGGTGCACACCTTTAATCCCAGCTGATCTCTGTGGATTTGGGACCTACCTGTTCGACAAAATGAGTTCCAGACTAGCCAGAGCTATAGTGAGAGCCTGACTTATTAAAAAAAAGTAAAACCAAAAACCAATAAAAACCAGCATATACTGACTCAACTATTTCAAAGTAATTCAGTATTTGACAAGAAGTGTCCTAACTTTGTTTTGTGTTTTTTTTGTTGTTGTTGTTGTTTTTTCCTGACAAAGTTTCTGTGTGTAGCCCTGGCTGTCCTGGACTCACTTTGTAGACCAGGCTGGCTGTGACCAGGAACTCACAGCGATCCACCTGTCTCTGCCTCCCCGAATGCTGGGATTACAGGCATGCACCGCTCTGCCCAGCTTCAGACTCTAACTTAACCTTTTATTTTTAAAACTGAACCAAAAAAGTTAATACTTAATCATCAGAAAAAAAAAGTCTTATAAATATCTATATTTCTGGCTTCTTCTGAAAAAGCTGAACAATATGGGTATCTGGATCCACGCCCCCAGATGGAAACCAGAAGTGAGTGCTCCTCACAGTCGGGGCAGCTTGCCACAGTACTTCTTCCTTGTCCCCATGTCACTTCTTCCCTGTCACTCCTCACCCTGTGGATCTGAATGTATGGTTCTCTTTCTGAATGACGGAGGCCGATGATGGTTTCAGCAGGAAAAACAAAACTTCAGTATCATTAGGTTTGCTTCCAAAAGATCAGGCAGCTGGAATGGAGGCAGGGAAAAGAGGGAGAGCTAGGTGTGATCCATGCCCGCGACCCCAGTGCTGGAGAAGCACCAGGTCCCGTAAGTAAGGTAAGGGCACTTGCCACCAAGCCTAATGACCTGAATGTGATCCCGGGAACCCAAAGATGAACAGAGAGACCCAATAACAGGAAGGCGACCTCTGGCCTCCACATACACATCACAGCATCACATACCTCCTCACATGTGTCAGCCTACACACATATACTAAATAAGTGAAATGGAATTAAAAGCAAGCAGACAGAAGCCACTTCAGAGCCAGATGTGGTAGTATTCACCTACAGCCCCACCACTTGGGAGGTGGAGGAAAAAGGATCAGGAGTTTAAGGGCCAGCCTGGGCTACAGAGTGAGTCTGAGACTAGCCTGGGCTGCATGAGATTATGTCAAAAAATAAATGAGAGAATAAATCTTCAAAGGCCAACTATATCAATAATTTAAATGTGGCTACATTATCGTAATGGGCATCTTAAAAGAGGCAAAGAATACTGAACATTTAGAAGGTTTCTGAGGGGAAACCGTACTTCTAGCACTTGGTAACGGATTTGACATGGAATGGAAAAAAGAGAACAGGACAATTAATAATTTGTTGTCTTATGTCAAATGACTGGATAATGGTATCAAAATAAGGTGGGGAAAGACTGAAGGAAAACAATAGTTCAAATGAGGACACGATGAATTTCTGGGGCCTCAAAACTTGCCACTTTACCAAGGCAAATCTCTCTAGCGCTAGCACAATGACTCTCTGAGGAATTCCCAGCAGATGATAAGAGCAAAGGAAGGAGGTGTGATCATGGAGCCTAGAATCAAGGTTTTGCTCATTACAGAGGTTTGGGCCTTGGGATGGCTCTATCCCAGGGTCTGTTCACTGTGTGCTGTGAACTAATTTGAAAAGTAAAGTCCAAGGAAATACAAATCTGTTTTTCACTCGAAGAAGTGAAAAACACCTCAAAGAGCTGTGCATTTTCAGGCCCACCTGCTGTGAGAATCCCGAGGTCAGCCACCATCTACTTGTATAAACTGACCCCAAATTTGCTCCTCGGACAGGCTCTGCAACAGCCCCTATCCTTCCTTCCTTCCTTCTTTCCTTCCTTCCTTCCTTCCTTCCTTCCTTCCTTCCTTCCTTCCTTCCTTC